TGTGTTTCGGTTGCGCGCGCTGCAATAACAATTCAAGATACACAAATGGTATTTTTGAAACAAATGATTCCTCTTTAAACGAATTAAAAATATCTAATTTTCAAGAACGACGGGACGCGGACGACGTCGACACTTAGAATTTAAAAAGATGATGCTCACAATAACTGATCCACGCGGACGAAGTTTCGACCACAGCTAGTATTAAATAATGTTCGATTTAAATCTACAAAGCAGGTATTTATTCCATTTACATTTTCACACAATAAACACTACAAAATAAAATCGTCAATTACAAAGAACCAACACAGTTCTCATCGAATATATTTTTCCGCGAATTGACTTTCACTAAGTGTAATATTAGACGCAAGTTAGAGATCAAGGCATAAAGCCATACTACTTGGTATTTACTATGTTAATAGTTAATACCCAGCCGTAAACTATCTAGACGTAACACTAATTAGAAGTCCCATTGGAAAGCAGTGGGGTAACATTTTATGTAGAACTAGCTGTGTCAGCAGTCGTCCGCGTAGTATAGTTATTTTGGGCAACCAAATTTGTTTTTTCCCCCCAAACATCCTGTTCGTCTTAAAAAAATAAGCTGTTACTCACGACGTCGGTCGCGTCCGGGCGTTCGGGTCCCATAGTTCTTACAAGTCAATCTTAAAGAATACTAGACTCTTTAGACTATATTTGTTTACATATCCATTTAATGGCACACGTCGACTTATTTTTTTCTTTTATAAGTAAACCATGGGTAAATGTAATCTAAAATATTTTTACTACGAAAATTCTTATTAAAATCTTGTTTTGATTATGGTTGTATCGGGAAAACTGGAAAGGGTTTTAAATGATAAAATTAAATTAACAAAGGAAACATTCGGACAAATACGAATCCCCCTCTGTCCCAACGCTTGTTTTCTGAAGATCCTTGAAAAAGCGCCTGCGCTGCCTTACTTTTACATGTTACTTTGTTATTAAATTAAAAAAGATAAATAGATATCTATCTACAAATACTGTCTATAGTTTACGCGTAAGTAGTACACATTTAAATAAAACACTTTAACGGTTTAAAACGCGATATATTAGTTAAACTTATTTGAAAATGATTTTTTACTTCGGCCTGATGTTTCGGGCCCATATAAGTTTAACTAATATATGCGTTTTAAACCATTAAAGTGTTTTATTTAAATCTATCTACCAGTTTTTAATATATTTTTAAATTACGAATACCACCACAGTTAATTCGAATATTGTACTTGAATTACTTTTTATTAAAATATATGTACGTAGTGCTATGGACTACGTATCGTACGAACGGACCAATGTTATAATAAACAGCTGTCAGCGAAATAATATCAAGGCCACATTATCATTGTTATCTCGGTGATCACATGTTTAGTACGCATATTGCACACCTCACATTGATTAATATTTAACTGACAAAGATACTTGTTCAGTCATACTGTTGATTAAATATTTACTGTTGTAATTATATTGAATATTCCAGTTTTAAGTTGGTCTTATATTTAATGTATTATGTATTGGTTATTATGGTAGCAATGTAATAATACTAGTAATAATGTAATAAGGCTAGTAATTAACAAGTCAATTTATAATTTTTCGGAAAGACGTTAGACTTTGTCTGAAAAATTTGATAATAAAATGGATGGTAGGAAAAATTCCGTCCGGGTCCGGAAGCGTTTCGGGTTAATTTATTTTCAAAAAATCCTGTGTGAAAGCCCGTTTCGCCCTTGTGGGGCATGGGGCGAACACATTTCAGTGTCCGTTGCATTGATCCGTTCTTTTAACGGGCAGTAGTTATTATACTTCTGTACCCTGGCCGACCGAAATATCTTTATTGTTTCCCTGGGATTCGAACAAGGACTTTCAAAATGTAGGCTATACGTTTAAATTGGCTACTGAGGGCAAAAATCCTGAGCCAATATATAAAAACTGTTTTATTTCTTGTAGATGGCTTGTATATATGGTTTGGGTATGTCACCTTCCATCAAGTGAATTTTTGTGTCTGTTTGTTTTCCTCTGTCAAAAATAAGTGATGTTATTATTAAATTAACCTTGATCTACTAAATTATGTTGCTCTCTCTTTACTTTAAGTACGTGCCTCTATTATTTCGCCGTTCCTTCTACTGCATAGGAGTCGTAACATTACGTTAGCTTTAAGACTATTTTATTGTGTAAAGGGCATGGAACAATGGGTGAAGTCCTTTGATGACTTTTCTATAACAAAACTTCGCGATTTATATAGTGGCCGCGTGTTTTTTGCCAGTTGTGAATAACATCGACTTCTCTAATTTGAAGTGTGTAATTTTCGTAACTTTTATGAATTTAAGTTGTATTGTTGTTTTTAAACATGCCTTATTTTAAGACCTACAATTTTTGAACTTTATTGGACACTAACTATGTCAGCGATTAAGTCCGCGAAAAATTATTTTGGACATCAAAGTTTGTTTTTGCAAACCCCTTCTTCATCTTTATAAATTTAAGCAGTTACCTACCACGTCGGTCGCGTTCCTTCGTTCATGCCAGTGAATCTTAAGACATTTTAAAAGACCACTTCAAGAGGAATCATTTTTTAATGCATATTTTTGGGTATCTTGAACCGTTTTCGCAGCGTACGCATCGGAGACTCACAAAGATGAATAAATTTTCCCGTTTATTTTACATTTACCGCTGTTTCTTCGCTCCTATAGGTCACAGCGCAATGTTTGTTGTTTTTATAGGCTATAACATTCCTCGATAAATACTCTAACCAACACAAAAATTTCAGTTCTACTCTAACAAACAAACCCTTCAGCTTTATATATTGGTATAGATAAGTGAAAAATTAGATTTTCTTTTAATGCATAATTTTGCTGCTAACAATTCACGAATGTAAAAGCTGATCGTAAAAAATAATCGATTTATCGTTCGTTACAAAGTCGGTCACATTTCGCATCTGGCGAAAGTAGACAGGAGCGAAAGTAAGCAGAACAAGTTAAAACTCTCCTTAGATACTACCTTGTTGCAAAGTTGTTATTGATAGAAGGGTCTATGACTATGTAATAGTGAAATTTCCCCTATGGGGCATGGGCCTATTAGATTTCTGGGTCCATTTCAGAAATCATTTTTTTTAAGTAGGTGATCAGATCTGTATCCTGGACATTTAAAAACCTGATGATTTGAGCCGAGGACCACTCATACTTAACACAAAGAAACAGAACAGTTATTTTGACATAAAACCTTATGTCAAAATACTCTAATGGCTCAATGTAATATGTTTATACTGTAATATATTAATATAACAGTGGTATGATTTTTTTAAATCATATAACATGAAGACTAGATATTACGAAGCCTGATAAATGAGAATTCATCCTCAGGAAATTGAAGACAAGATACAGTTGGTAAAAAAACCAAGTAAAAATTTTTTTAAGTTAATTAAAACCCCCTTTAAAAAAATTTTTTTTTTTTTTTTTAATAAAATTTTTTTTTTTTTCCAAATTTTTTATAGGGGGGAACATTTTTTTAATTTTTTTTTTTTGTTTTTTTTTCCCAAAAAAATAAGGGGGGTCAAGTTGTTCAAACTGTTCCTAACCAAAATTTAAAAAATTAATACCCTTGATTAAATACACAGCATTTCTGAAGCCCTGTTTTATGTTTACATCAGAAAATTTCCAAGCCAACTACCTGGATGATCAGTTTTAACACATACAACAACAAAACACTACCAACAATATTTTTTCTCAAGGTTGACAAAAAAGACACAGTAAATAGTGTATTCTGTATCGTGACACTATTGACCACGTCAAAAAGGTAATAGTACAACTTAATGTTTTCTCAAATGTCCATAAAGCTATATATAAAACAACAGTTATAAGTTGAAAACTGGTTGGAGATAAGATTATGTTAAATGTTCTGGTAAACATACCCGTAAGTATTTGCCAATATGGAAGCTGTACTGTAGCATGTTTTTAATCACAAATACCACTTCATAAATTACATTCACAGGACCTTTGCCACAATTATCTCACTGAACACAAATCACACGTATATCTCACTAACTTTCCACAACTACACAAAATACACTAAAAACCGTTCTATCATTAATTGCTAAACAATTAATAAGAAATCCGAACATACGCATAGGACAGCACTACTTAAAATTAGAATCCTTATTCCGTATACATACACGGCATAGACCAAATTTGAACGTTGAAAATCTTTAGAAAAATGAAAACAATCCGCGAATAAATATAGACATTACAATTACGCGGATTACCACGGTTCACAGTCCACAATCCTGAATCATAATCTGACTTCCTAACACCGTCCGCCACACCGAGAACGGACTGCCACAACACAAGACATTTGACGTTATTGTATTTGTCAACTGTCTCTATACCACAGACATAGTAGGCAAGTCACAGATATAGTACGGAAGCGAGTTTCGCTCTACTTTTCATGAGATTAAAGCGATGCTTAACTCATAAGTCATAAGCCGTTAAATATAAAATTAAAAAATATTGTTTTGGTTTCTCCCACATCTAATTAATTAGATTAGTCATTTCTTTTTTTACCGTAAATCTTCTTTATCTAGATAAAAAATATGTATGCATGCGACGGTAGTCTATTTTAGTAGATGCTCAATTTATAATCCAAAACTTAAAGCACACTACCTCGTTTAAGTGTGTACTTTTAAAACTTACCTGCATTTGGAGTAAATTTTATTCACATATTGATATTTGATTCGTTTAAAACACACGTGCACGTGCAGGGGTATAACGCAAACAAGTAGCTTATAATTACTTGTAACTTTTATTAAAATCTACTTACAAATATGTAACAAAGGTCAAGTATTACATATTTTTGTAAATGAAATGAGAAACAACTTTTCGCCGAGCAACATGTCGAATTGAATAAATCAATATTCTACTTAATTATATATACAACAGGAGTAAAGTAACATCGGCAAAATAATAAATTAAAAAGTCAGTCTTCATTTATTTATTCAAAAGCAAAATGTTGCCAGGTGTACTAAAGCTTCCGTGTCGAGATCTTACATCAACTGCTCTGACTGCGAAATAGTATTTAAATCCAGGTACAAACTGGGTTAGCGTGCAAGCCATTGGTAACGGCAAAGCTTTAACATTTCCAATTATTTTCCATAAATTAGTACTAGGCGGATATTGTGTTTCTTGATAGGCATATATCTGATAGGTGGCTATACTTTCGTGATATTCTTCTCGGAAATTATCTATTTTCCAAGATATTACTATTCCATTTTCGACTTTTGCTAATGTGATTTCTGGTGCTGGTGGAATTGCTTTCCAATTTGGGGGTTGGTATTGTTTTGAACTTTCCGGTAATGGGGGTGGATGCGATTTCCGCAATTGTGGATTTCTAGGCCTGACATCTGTAAATAAAGATATCAAATTTATAATAACAAAGTATATAACATGATTAATACAATGAAATAACAGGTACCTACTTTGTGTATTCACTGTTTTAATCATGTATGTTGCTGGTCCTGGCCTAATATTACCCGTTTGCTCTTCACCAATAGGTATATATACTTTTCTAGAATTGTTACCTACTTGTGGACGTACAGGTGGCATTAAGTTCTGTTGTGGTACAACTCTAACTGCCTGATTAACAGGTCTAGATGAAACTTTTAGAGGTGGTTCATCATCTGTAAGATCTACGGTGTCTGAACTAGCTTGACCTTTTATTAGAGGCCTTTTCTCAGGTTTCAATATTGGCGGTCGGCTAGGGGGCGTTGCTTTAACATTAGTAATTTGATTTGACACAGTAGTGTTAGTTGAATTTTTAGCTGGAACTAATCTAGGGTATGGTATTTGTGCAGTATTTGGTTGTTTCTGTTGTCGGTTACTTGGTGTCACTGGAGATCGTACTTGTGGTTTATTTGCTCCAGTGGATGCTGGGTTATTTGACTGAGATAAAGGCGGTTTCCTCTTAGATTTTTCTGCCATTATTACTTGAATCCCAACAGATCTAGTAATTTTTAGAGGGGTTATTGGAGAATTTTTTCGCAACTCTTCTTGTACAGATCTTAGCACTACTTGAAGATCTTGATTTTGTTTCGTAAGCATTTTTACTCTATTCCTATGTTCTTCTAAGCACAGTGTCATTTTCTTTAATTGCGATTTTATCTCACCAAGATTTCCTCTATCAACTACACCTTCTACTATTTTTAAAATAAAAAGTTCTTCTAGTTCATTGCGAGTCATTTCAGCAAAATTCTTTTTGCAAGTGTCTAAAAAATTTGGCGGCAATAGAGGTTTTGGAGCGACAGCAATATTTTCCTCGATAACTTTAACCCCATTTGGACGAGGTGGGGACATATCTGTAAGTAAACGCATTTTGAGATACAGCATGAAATTAAAGATCAATATATTGTAAAAAATAAAAAATAATATACTCTACTTTTATCTTACCTTTTCCTGACGTTGGGATATTCTCAATTGCCATTTCCACTTTAGGGTCAGTATCTTCTCTTTTTGCTACTGCATCATTATTATCATTTAGGGCCACTATTGACTCAGCTGCACTGGCTTTTGACGTGATATCATCATCTATGAGCATTATGTCATCATCATCATCTACGTTTATATAGTTTTTATTCTGTGATTTATTAACACACTGTTTGTTACCTTCGTTTTCGATATCCTCATCATCTGATAAAATATCTAAAGTATTTGACAATTTACTTATATAGGGATTTTTCATTTCTTGTCTTTTTTCAAGGTTGTTTTTTTCTAGACTTGTAGTTTCGTTTACATTTGATACCTTTTCATCAATTTGTGTTACATCTGTTTCAAGATTTTCCTTATGATCAGATGATTCAGTTTCAATACAAAGTTTTGTTTTTTCTTCTGGAAGTATATTTTTATTTTCTAATTGACTAGATTGGTTACAATCTGTGCTTTCGGGAACTTCAGAACTATTTTTAATATCCATCCTAGGTAAATTTCCATCTTCTTTTTCTTTTTCGTTTTTTATATTATTTTCCTTATTCTCGACATTACAAACATTGGATACAGGTTCTACAATAGCATTCTCAGAATCTTGACATTTAGTGACAGTTTTCTTCATATTTTGACTTTTACCTTCATCGTCACATATTTTCGCAGTTTCAGAATGAACGGTTTCTAAGTGACTATTTTTTTCATTAGTACCCTTATGGAGCAAGATACTTTCTTTTTCACTATTGGTAATATCAAAAGGAATATTAACCGCAGACAAAGTTTTATCAGTGGTTTTCGGTTGCGTATTAATTAGTTCATCTGTACTTTCTAATAATACATGATCATTGATTTTGTTATCAACCATCCCATTTAGTTTTCTATTAGAACTTGTCTCATTAACGTTAGGTTTAAGTTCAATCTCTTGCGATTTAACATTTTGTCCTGGATCCGTTAAATCCACATTTTCTTCTATTTTCAATAAGTTTATACCATTCTTTTTAGTGTGTATATCATCTTCTTTTTCTTTCTTTTCTCCATTATTTGCAATGGCTACATCCGATTCGTCTATAGTTTCTATATTGCTATTAGTATCACTACTACTTAGTTTCTCAATAAGGCTTTCGGTCGAAAGGTTTTCATTGAAACCGTCTTTTTTAATTACGGCCATATTTTTACTGGTATTAATGTCGATTTCGCCATCAAAAATTAATTGCATTTTTTACCATATCTAGAACTCACATCTAAGTTTGACCTGAAATTAGAAAAAGTTATTTAATAGAAATGGTTAAGAGAGGCTAATAAAAAAAAAAATAATAATACCTATTACTACGCGCAATATATAGGAATAACATCGTCTAATGTAACTGTTCATAGAATTGAACGTTTTAGGGTTACGTGTTTGGGAGAGTCAAACTGATCAAAAAATTTTTTTACTTTTTCTAAAGAAAAATAACCCGAGCAAGACGTGTATCAAATGGCATGTTGTGCTTGTGTTATCCGATTTGATCTTGTTTTTTTAGTCTACTTATCCTTAAAGTAACTCTGTCTGTCTGCGAAAAGGGGGTCAAAGGGGGGATGAAAGTTTGTATTGAAATTCGTGGTTTTCGAAGCTAGAACAATTAAACTTTCTTCTTTGGCTTTTTGGGAATAGGGTTGGGAGTGGGAGTTAGAGTAGGAGTGATGTGAGATGAGAGTGTTGCGGCAAAGTAGCACTTACAACATAGATTGACTGCGATAAATGCGCAATTACATAAGTTAATAAACAGCCTAAATAATTAAAAATTCTACCCCAAGACACTATTCCACGCGAACGAAGTCGCGGGCACAGCTAGTATTTTATATTGCGATTTTTTTTTTGCGATATTAAATTAAATACGTACAAATAATTGTGTTTTAACTTGGGATGGAAACAGTGCCATCAAAAATAATAAATAAGCTAACAGAGGAGTGGGGGAAAGTAAGGGGAGACTGCCTAGAAGGGGGACAAAGCTACCCCCATAAAACAAATGCCAGTCGAAAACGAAATGTTGGTTAGGTTAGAATAATGATCACACAAAAAGAAAACTGAAGCGAGAAATTGTACAGACCTTCCACAAATTCGTTAAATTGTGTAAAATATTTGAGTAATTTTTTTTTTCAATAATACCTATAAATCAATAAATCGTCGTTTATTTTGTTACGCTTCCGATTTTTCTTATATTAGATTTTTTTTTTTTTGACAGGTCAATGTGTCATCTTCACGCTGTCACTGAAGCTCAGCTGTATGATTTATCCAACTTTACATCATGGATTTACGTAGTTAAATGCTGCTATTTTATTGAAAACTTTTTACCTTATTATTTCTCTGGCAATAAATAAAAAAAAATATGTTTTTACACAGATGACATAATTGAAAAAAATGACATGAAGGCCCACTGTCAATCTTTCGGTCTTATTAGTGTTTAATGAATTTCGGATATGCTTACGTATGCCTATGTATGAAAAAATGCGTACCAAAAAATATTAACCAAGAGTAATTTTATGCGTTTTGCTCTTAAAAAAAAGCAAATACAACAATAAATATTATTTATTATATGAAAACAAAACAAATACACATTATTTTAAGTAAAAAAAGTACATAAACATCGTCTGTTTGCGTCACATTTACATATTTTATCTAGGTGTATAATGACATTAATGACAGTTGACGTTTAGTTCGTCGTCGTGTAAAAACAACAATGCGAAATTTTAAAATATTGTCCAATATTATGTAATGATGCAGGGATGAGCGTCTCATAAATATAAAATATTTACTAATTTAAAAAAAATCTAATAACAATGTCCTGAACCCCTGAACGCGAGTTTTAATTCTACATTTCGTACATTCTCTTTATTAAAGTAGCACTTGCTGATAGAACACTACACGGTGCACACACTTGCAACTAACGTGCGTATGTTGAAATCTACTTATTCTTACCTTGTTTTTTTTTTGCCCCAAGATGGCGTCAAAGTTTGATTATTATAATATCATCAAATAATGAAAATCTACAATCTCTAATTACTTCAATTCAAAAACAATATGTTTAATGATGCCTTTATATGACTCTAATCATAGTATGATGTGATGTAGTTTCAATTTTTTATATCTGATATAATTCACAAAATCATAAAACAAAATGGCGACTCTATATTATTATCTCTGTTGACAACGACCTGACGCGCAAAATCTAAATAAAAATGAAGAACGTTAGAGAGTACGGATGTCGCGCTCACGCAAGCGATCTCAATGGTAGAAAGAGCGAGACGAATACTGTTCGTGTATGTCTTCCCATAACCCAATATGAAGTAGGAACGTATGACTGCCGCCTGGCGGCTGGCACCTATCGAACGGTATCAAGACAAGAGTGAAGAGAATATCATGGTAGTGAACATGTTCTTCTGGTTCTAGGACAGAATATCATCAAATTCAATGCATGCAAATGCATGTGATTGAATACTAAGAGAACGAACACATTTGCTAAAATATATATATATATATATTAAACCAAAAATAAAAAAAGTTCTGCACAAGCTTTTAGTTAAGCATGGTCCTTTATTATTTAGAATTGTTGTCTTATGCATATAATTTTCCACATTTTCTTTGAAAAAAAGATTTTTGAGTATTTTTTTTTTGTACTGCTGATAAGCACCACGACTATAATAAAAATATAAGAAAAAAATATTTCTTTAAAAAAACTCGTAAAAATCTCTTTTTTTGTAAAAAAAATAATTTGAGAATTTGAGAAGTGCATACCTAGTAAAAACAAATATAATCACAACAAAAAATATTTTCACAATATCACAAAAAGAAAGGTTGGAAAAAACATGTAACAAATAAAAAAAAAAACAATCTGAAACCGGTACTGGTTATTCCAAAACAGAAAGGAACTGAAGAAACAAGAACATTAATAGTTAATTATAATATTTCGATAATATATTGACAACTTACTTGAGTAGGAGAATCCAGAAGAAGAAGGAGCAAGAAGATAAATAATCACGAAAGACATGCGCTCCGTCTCGCGACTCTTGCAGTACTGACGTAATAGAAGAAGAAGAAAATGGCCGCCGCGAACTCAGCGCCAGAATGTGGGGAGTAAAGGAACTAAATGAACAGAGTACATTATAGCCAGAGAAAGCTTCGTTCCGGCATATAGTTCCCAGACGCCAAAGAGCGAAATAGAACTATACGGACACCGCTCCATACAAGAGTGAAATAGCTATATGGTGGTGACGCCACGAACGATGTTATCACTGTAGTAACATTACTCTGTGAACAAAGAACTACGAGTACGTATATATTATCGTTAGAGGTCAAATTACGCTGCGTGTTTCTTGTTCTCTTGCGTTCTACTTTTGGGTTTTAGGCATCCTTCTTGTTACTGCTATTGATATTACTGCAGTTAACTTATTAATTGCTGAATGGCTTAAAATATTTTACATTACTGCTTAATGGTATTTATATATTTATTTCTATGGAATTAAAGTTAATCATAATGAAGACCGGGAAAGTTAAAAATTAAAAGGAATTGAAAATAGACATTAATAAGCTTCTTATTAAATTGTAAATCGTTTTTAAAATGTAAAATAACCAAGTATATCAATACTTTGTTCAAGACAATGCGACGTTGCCACAACGCTACACAGCGAACGAGCTGGTGGCAACGTATCGTTTCACGCTCAACGACATAAACCGAGTCGAAACGAAGTTTTTTTTATGAACTGGGTTTGAAAATAGCTCTCACAAATAAACCTATATTATTATTTTCTTTTAAATAAGAAGTTACCATTTTTATATCTTATATTTCCTGCTTCAGCTGTTGTATTTAAATTTTGTAAACACTTAAATTCTTAGATACTTCTATTTATCGAACACTATTAGGTATTTAGAGGTTAGGTTAAAAGTTATTTTTAAGCTGGTTCGTGTCAAGTAAATAGTATATAAGAAACTTCTTATCAAATTAAGTTTTAGTCCATTATTAGGATAATACCGCTAAAATAATAAATGAAAATGATTCATCAACCGTACGAACATCTCTAAATTCCATTTTGTAACTTGTACTACGGTAATTTAGATGAAATACTTACGGTATGATCTAAACATAATAACGCAATACATCGCTGCTTAACTTGAAGAGTTCACTACATTGGTGGGAATGTACACAGCACTAGCGACTAATACTTATTTTTGAACAATATTATACAGTTGAAAGTCCTTTGGATAGAAATAACCTGTTATTAATATATTTACCTTCATTACAACTTTAAACAAAAAAAATACTTAAATCGAAATAAAAAATAGAAGAACACACTACTTTAATTTAATATTATGTGTGAATAAAACACTTTTAACGATGTAAAGTATTCGAAACGTCGTGCAAATAGGTTTAACTAATTTATTTCGCGTTTTAAACCGTCAAATGTGTACCACTCGAATAGACTGCGTACTTAATATTAAGTTCAATTACTATTTACTTTTTATTACATAATTCAATGGTTTATTATACCAGGAGAAATCAGTAAGGTGCCATGACGATTGCTAAGGTCAAACACCTACATCCAGGTCATTCTACCTTTATTATTATCGGTTAATTCATTCTTCTACTAAATTTAAGGTAAATAAATAAAGAGTCATGATTTAGAACGCCACGTCTACGTCCATACAGTTATATTAAAGAGATTGTAAGTAACGGGTGTGGTTCCAGCAGTCCAAACACACATGTGTGTGGGTTTAGCAGTGATCAACAGTAAACGAAGAAGGAAAACCTACAGCGACTAGGCAACGTCGCTTCGTTCGCCTGTACTGCCGAGTTCTTTCCGACCAACAAGCGTTGGCATTGTTCCGTTTTGACCAATGCGACGTTGCCGTACTTATTTAACCAGTTTTGACTAGAAAAAATCTACACGTGATTTTCAAATTCACTGGTAACACTACTTACGAAAATACTAATATTTTTAAACACTGAATGCCGTTATAAAATAGTCTAAACTAAATAACATTTATCGCTGCTAACTCAGCAGCGTACCATGTTCATCGGATTCTATATTTGCATGTCTCCCATGGCAGCAATGTACGGCTAATGGTATAGTCATAATAGTAAACGGGCAGTCTGTTTTACTTCCGCAGGTCCGGCAAACTCAATTTACAATTTTTCTGAAACATAATAGGTAGGCCTGCTAGGCAGAAGAAATCTGTTTATCACTATTTTTTATTTGCTTTATTGAGCGATGCGAGTATGAAGTACTGCATTTTTATCGTACTTTATAAATATTATCGTACTTTATAGACGGTAACCTCCCAATTAAGGCAATACGCCTGGCTGTAGCTACATAAAGTTGTAATCCTTGCATGTGTATAGTAATATTTTGTATTTTTAATAACTTACGGTAAAAGTATTGTTTACGAAATAGGAGGGACTTACAAAGTTATGGAGTAGCGGCTGTCGGCTTTCAAACATTATTTCTTATACTTTTTCTGCCACACTGGCCGGGAAGTTATTTTTACATACGAAGTTTTTTTTTTTATAATTCTGTTCGATTATCTAAATGAATCTTGCAGTATTTTGATATTTGAATGTTTTTTTGGTTTTCCAAAAAGATATTGCTGTTTTATAATGTTTATGTGTATAATGTCCACAGACACTAAACATATTAAACAGCTGTGTTGAAAACTGCCATCTATAAAAGCCTACATAAAATCTTCACACCGAAAATAGTATTAGAAGTAGTAGGTTAAATACACAATAGATGGCGTTAAGTCGTGGATTATAACACACTTACGATGATTTTTTTAATGAAAAATAGTTTTTAATATAATGGATTATATTTCTCTACATTTTAAGATTTTTGTTCAATTTAGCAGTTACTCGTGTAAAATTCTAGTTTGTATATTTGCATCTTCGAAATATTCGCGCGATTTCAACGGCCGCAAGTGTCAATTGTCAAAATTTAATAGAATTCAGAAATGTTTTCACGTTTGAAGTCACAGATTTGCTCTATTTTTAAATTTTAGGTAAATAAGACTTGTTTACTGTGTAAATAAAAGCAATATTATCGAAGACCATTTAAAATAAGTGTATGTTAGGAATTTAGTGAAATATTTTATAATGTTTATTCATATATTAACACTTTGGGCATAACCAAAAAGATATTAAACCGATAATTAATATTGTGTGCCTTGGATTTAGTTTTAATTATCGTTATAATGTTGGGAGTACCTCGATTGAAATCAGTTGCTGTAAGTTATTTAATATTTAAATATTTTTATTATTATTTGTCATTACTTTTATTAAAATTCTTTCATTATGTTACAGTTACCACTTAGCCACTTTTATGGCCTGTATGCTTCATCAAGCCGTTGGTATAGTGAAAGTGTTGTTAAATATTCCGAGGTAGATCAAAAAAAGATTTTGGAGGTTATAAATAAGTCAGACATTGAGACTTTATCTAGGTAAGTTCCAAAGAAATTTCGTAACCCATGAAAGCTTTGTCTATTAGGGGAAATAAACTATAAAATGGCTGAGTCTAAACTCTAAAGTAATTTAATTATTGTGTTTTAAAAAAAGTTTCAAACAATTTAAAATAATTTGTTTAGTTTACAATCATACATCATAATTGGACCTGATTTTAAATTTGAAGTTGCAAATGTTTATGTAAGTAGTGTGTTTAGTGTTTGTATACTTTTTATCACACTTACCTTTTACTTCAGATATGATGTTACTAAAGGTAGGGTGAAAAATATTTCAAAATGGAAACAGACATATGGACCAATCAAAAGTGTTTCCGACATAGAAACTATTGATGGTTTCAATCAAAAAAAGGAAGTTGAAAAGTTATTTGACAGCATAGTAAATGATAAAGTGTCATCAGAAAAAGAAACTAGAGTATTAAAACATATCAAAGGGCAAATATTGAAACCTCCGTTGGCTGAAAACACTCGCCAGGTATTTTTTACATATTACATAAAAAAAGTAAAGTAAATTTTAAAAGCTAGCTCATACCTCCAGACCGTGTGGTACCACCTTGTTTCTCTTACGAGCTAAGCTTCCATGTATCTATTCCATTGTTAATGTGTTAATTAGAGTTACTGTTAATAAAGGCTCAGGAGTTTAGTTTGAAAAATATATTAATCTATGGTTGTTGTTCCTTAGTTCATTTCTTTTTTGTAATAATTAAAAAAAAAATGTTCATTAGGGAAGTATTTAATATTTGCTGGTTTTCTACAACAGCTTTATGTGTGCTTAAATATTCAAAACACTTAATTTTAAAATTTGTATATGTCAATGCATATTATAGATAATTTAAATAATATAATGAACGGATCTGCGCACAAGTAGCTGCTTACTAATTGTGGTTTTGAGTCTCTTGTGTGCATCTACATTTTTAATGTCTCTAATATACTTTTGTATACTATATGATATTAGATAACTATGAACTTGGTACATCAATTACTATTAGTATATATTTATTTGTTTAGGTTAATTCTTTTATAGGCCGTAAGCTCCATACTAACAGTGTATGTTACTATCAATTCAGTATCTTGGGCCTTGATCGAGAAAAGCCAGTATAAACTGCTAGACTGGCAGTATCATGGTATTGAGTATACAAATAATAAAAATTCACAGTTGGGGGATATCTTAGAAGTAGTGAGTATGTTTTATTTATACAATAATTAATAATGTATTTTGGGGGTTCAATAAAAGGCCTAAGTAAATCACTCTATTTTCAATTAAGGTTCAGAAAGCATTGTGAATGAGTCTGCCCAAGCTTTTTTTAAAGAGAGGTGGACAGACAAGCATGGCGTTCACTTGAGGGTAGGTGAAAATATCTCAGCCACATAATATCTAAATATCTAATATGATGCTTTGTCGACCTGTTGTGTTGCTTTGACTACAATACTTGGACATTTACAGGACAAAAAAATTGTTCCTTAACCTTTAAAAGCAAATATAGACAATCTAGTAATGTGTTAAACCCTGTTACAATTTTGAATATTAATCTTCAGGCATGGAATATCACAAATAAGCTTCCTTCAACTGACATATATGTGATGAAGGGAGAAGCGACAAGCTTACGCGCGTCTGGCAGTGATCCTAATAATCCAAAAATGCTTGGTATTAACCTGCAAAAGGCTCAGATGATATCAATGATTGTTGCACTTTTATCTGCGAGAAATATTCATCAAGAGTAAGTTAACAAAATATATAACGTTGTCTGTAGTTTACGAGTAGTACACATTTAAATAAAACACTTTATCAGTTTAAAAGGCGATATATATTTAGTTAAACTAATTGGGAAGTTAGTACTAGTACTACGACGTAGTAGAACTTTTTAAATGATGAAGTCGGGCCGGGAATTTTTAAACTATTAATATTTTCGTTTTAAACTGTTGAAGTGTTTAATTTACAAAAATACATTTATAAAAATAATAAATGTTTTATTCAAAAATTAATGGTTTAGTGTGATTTTACCTTAAAATTGCATGGTTACCATGGTTAGCAAAGAGTCATATAATAAAAGTGATACAATTAGTTCCGTTTATTTGTGAAGACAACATTATACAGTCTTACTTATAGACAGTCAAAATTACTAGTTTTAAGATAAAAAATGTTTAATTAAATATAAGTTTGCATATTTTTAACTATGACGCAGAGTTTTGGATACTTAGCAGCACCAGTCTTTAGTACAGCAGAGGACCATGTTAAAAGGTTCTTTTCTTTTTTTCAGAAATAGTTATGAGGAACACAACAACTCTAATATTGACAATATAAAAATGAAGCACACCGTTTATTTCTTACGTCCATCTTTACCCTTTCGGTAAGTTCATCCAATCCAATCCACTGATCAAATATTACAATATGTTTACAAGTAACTGGCTGTGTCAGCGATTTTGTCCGCGTAGATTTTTTATCATTTAAATTTGGTTTTTTAAATCTTAGTTTTATAAATTCTAGCTGTTACCCAGGACGCGCGTGCAGTTTCGAAGTGAGTTAATCATAAAAGATTGACATGTACCTAGTGTCGCAGACATTTTTTTTAGATTTTTTAAAAAGGATCACACTATCATAGATATTTTCTAGGTTTCTTGAACCGTTTACGCAGCCTCCTATATTAGTGTAGACGTTAAAAATTAATATAATTTGTGGTTGACAATTGACACAAGAACCAAGATTGTTACAAAAAACTAAGATTGACATTGTAATATTTATCGTAATGATCTTGAAATCATAGATAGATGGCGTTGTAACTAATTTCTAAGAAAAATTACATCTATACAGAGTAACAAAATATAAATGATTTTTTATTTATTTAAATCTATCACTACGTTCTATTCTATATGTTTAAAGACACAAACTAAATAAGAAATGGTCAATATTTATTAAGTGCTTCCATTTCTGAATGAAATTAAATAACAAAAACTAAATAACCCCTACTTTCGAATTAATAAATGAATACACTAATTAATAATTAATGTAACACAATAATAAATAATACACTGAATTATTTGAAAGAAAGACAGATTGACTATTCAATCAGGCAGGTTCACCCCTTGGGCAAGTTGATAGTACAACGAACTTTACAGAAATAAGGCGCGCACGTCACCACTACTTCTTATCCTCTCCGTTAATGACGCCATCACAATATTCATATAACAATATAAATAATTTATTTTTAACCCAGTTTTTATGTTTAACCAAGCATAACTTAATTTTACTCTAATACAAAAAAGGAGGTTGGATAAGTACTTTAGCGTGATCTAGAGACGTATTATTTTCCATCGTTTTTTTATTGTTTTTATTTTACAGTATTGACGCTGATGTACTTTTTGTGAAGATGTTGTAAATAATAAAACGAACATTTAATTTACAGGTTGTACGGTACCTTAATTGGAAAGGAGCAAGTGACATCCGACCAGACTGTAGAAATGCTACTCCAGAACCTAAACAGTAGATCGCCAGATCACACCCACGTCTATGTACCAGACAAACTTAAGGCCTTATTTAGGGCACAGCGGGATCTCCCAAAGGACATGATGGCCCAATGTCTGTTATTCTCCTTAACTTTCATGGATCTGTGTATTTATAAAAATAAAGAGAAAATTGATAAAATGTTATCTGAAAAGAGTATAATATAGTTTTAAAGTTGATGCTTCGTCTTTTATTCCTGAACTAGATATGCCCGCGACTTCGTTCGCGTGGAATAGTGACTTGGGATAGAATGTTTAATTGTTTAGGCTGTTAATAAATTTATGTAAGGGCGCATTTAAGGCAGCCAATCTATGTTGTTAGTGCTACTTTGCCGCAACACTCTCACCTAACATCACTCGTACTCTTACTCCCATTCCCTGTTACATTGTTCTAGCTTCAGAAACCACGAATTTCCATACAAACCCTTTTTCAGCCCCTATCATTTAAATCAGTTCAGTAGTTTCGGAGTTAAAGCCGGACAGGCAGACAGACAGAAATAATGCGCCCTTACATAAATTAATAAACAGCCTAAATAATTAATAATCCTACCCTAATCGCTGTGCACGCGGACAAAGTCGCGGGCACAGCTAGTTTATAATATACATATGTGTTTTTGCACATTTCCCAGATATAATAATGTTTCAATTGCAAATAACAAATGGATATCTGGTCAGAAATAAGAGTCCACAACAGCCAAAAGCTGCTTTCTACTGAACGTTACGGAAGACTTTCAGTAGACAGCACTCGCACGCAACATGGAGTCCAACGACCAGCGTTGTGTTTTGTTTCATGACGAGGGAAATAAATAAAACCGCGTTATATTGCTTCAGTTGGACTAAAAAGTGTTTATTTGATAAAATACAACGAGCTTACTTTTTACAACATTTTACTTCTATTAAATGACAAAACAAACAAAACCCTTACAATAATAATATACATAAATACGATGGTATCAATCAACTTCAAACGCATAATATGTAACTAATATAAATGCAAATCTAGGCAAGAACGTTACATTTCAATAACCTAAACGAATAAAATAATAACTTACTCAGTATTCGAAAATTGTTACGTGAAGAATCTAATACAAAAATTTCCTATAAGATCACACTTACTTTTGACCTAACCGAATCGAATTCCGTATTTAATACTGATATAATTTTGGAAGAACTAGAAAATATATTTACAATTTTTACTTTAATATTATTTGCCAACGTGTAAAATTTTTCGCCTGGATCTTTGTGACCGTTTCGCAACCAACTGTTAGATAAGAAACAAACAATAAACAAAAGTATGGTGAATGAAAGGAAACTTGTATTACGTTCTGTGTAAAAAGTTCGATCTTGTATTCTGGGATTGTATTAAATCAATCTCATATAGTCTATTTCGGTGTATTTGTAAGAAAATATACTCTATTGTAACACTGTGAACGGGGCTGAAGAAAAATTATATTTGTAGGCCTTCCATCAGCCATAACAACTACCAAAAATTAAATGTTGCCAAGGGACACGGCATGAACCATAAAAAACAATTAATTTACTGCTAATGGGGTTTACTTATTCGGCAACGAATCATAATAACTATGTGTGTCTGTCTTATTAAGTGGTTGAATATTTTAATTATAACTAGACCTTCCCATCGATCTGTTGTTTTATCAAAAAAGATACTAGCTATATGGGTTAAATGCAAACGAATTTAATTGCTATTGTTTAAATAAAAAATCGTATTATAATAGTGGTAGGTAACGTTACATAATCAATGGAAGAAGTGGATCGACCACAAAAGTGTGCTAAAGAAACATACACAAATGAGAATCAATTTCTCCACAGCCCCGGAATAATTCTGTAGAAACCTAACAACGTTGTAAAATTACCAGTCTATTGTTGTATATTATAATAAATATGTACAATTAATCATATAACAGCACCCATTTCGCGTAAAATCAATATTATCTAACCGAGACCACGTCGCCCATGACGCTTGTAAAAAAATCTTTCTAACATGTATATCACGGCGTATTGTATAAAAAGTCTATTGTATAGCTTGTAAAATCTGTATATCTATTGTACTATCCGGTATAAGTAAGTTTATTGTATTTAAATAAGTGCTGTAGCAAAAATAAGCAGGATGGGCGGCGCAACCCGAGACCGACTCGTCTAATAAAATCTGTAAAAAAACTCAATCCAGACTACAAGATCATATATGTATCTAATATGTTTTATCTTTTATAAAAAATTCAACAACTCTTACTTTATCGTGGAACTGTTTCAACAAGTCTCTATTGTGATAAAAATGAATATTTATTATTCCTTTTCAATAATTTACATGACAGCGGTTGGCGAGTGTGGCAGTGTACATACGATAGGGGTAACACTTAAAAAAATATAGGCCACGCATGTTGGCTACCAATTATTCGCTTATCTATACTAAGAATACGTATTTATAAACCTTATATTAAAATAAGCACGGTAAATTATAATACAACGTAATATTTATAACGTCCAAAGAAAACATGTATTGCACGACATCCGCTGTTATTGCTCCAAGATTTTATTCTGGTCATTAGACAATGTTAAACAAAAGACCGACCATTAAGAAGTAAACGTACGCATTAAGTAAATATGCATTTAAAAAATGTAAATAGATTATGAACTACAGCATAAATGGAAGACGTAAAAATAATAATTCGTAGCCAACGGTTATTGAAATAAATACTTACGAAAATCTGAAGATCTAATTCACTTACTAATCATACATTGCGGGATACGATGAAAAAATGCACTCTCCTAATATTAGTTAAAATTGTGCTGGCTATACATTTTAGATAAATGAAACATGCGGGACAGCTTTTGCCTAAACGCTGAACATACCTATTTTGATTACATTCAAGACAACGATGAACTAGGTGCACGAATTGGACAATACGTATTGCAGATCTGCGTAATAAAAACGGAAAGACCGAATTTACAAGATATTAAAAAATATATAAAAATTAATGTATAAATATTAGCAATTTGTATAAAGATATCGCGTACTAAATAGATTTTCAGATTTGTTAAAAGCTACGCTGAAGCGGGAATTATATTTAATTTTAGCAGTTGCATCGAACAACTTTAGACAGTAAAACCCTTAAATAGACAATAATATATAGACTTAAACGCCAAATAACCTAAGCGTGTAAAAACTTGAAATTATGTAAAGATCAGAAATAAATGCCACGACGGGAAACGAACGTTTTACGACCTACTGTCTTCGTAACGAATTGTGGATAATTTTATAAGTCACCTATGCCTAAAGAGTTTACGAATTAATTACTCTTATATATTACACTTATTTAATTGAATCAAAAGTGATGAAATCTATTTGAAATTTCCTTTTTAAAAGATGTACGAATACAACTAAGAAATGTTATTACAGAATAACAAACGCTTGGATTTTGAATATCATTCGAAAGCACTCATTATTTCTCTGGGCAGCACAAAATGCTGAATTTTTGTGTTTCAGTAAAGAGAATTCATCGATAACAAAAAAAGAATCATTATCTACGAAAAGCGTAAACAATTTTCCACGAAAACACACTTTCATATTGCAAATCAACCGTTTTAACCTAGACTTTACCAAGCTTAGCTTACAATTTATATTGTATTTAATACAATTGACGCTCATCTCTAAGTATGCAAAGTATACACATCCAATGCAATCTTTTTCTCTCCTTTTGTTATTAACATAAAATAATACAAGATTTAAATGGATAGCTATCTCTTAAGACGTGTCTTAATCTTAAATAAATGCGAATTATCAATATAATGTAGATAATATACTAATAGTAATGTGAGTGGAATTTCATTCCAAATAATGTAATCGTTTCAAATAAGAATAATACATAGATGTGGCAACTATATAGTACCAAAAATATAAAATAATTTCAGCTAAAGTGTTAACCATTACGGAAATACAAATTTGAACGGTGCTTGTAAAAAGGACATACATATGGCCTAGGAACATAGGAAGAACCTAATCAACTAAATGTCAGTGGAGAAAAATAAATAGCGTAAAATACAGTCGAACATAGTATACACCGCTGCTTAATGTTATGATCTGTGACAAAATGTTTGGACGGCACAGACTAAATTAAACCATTTTAATAACTCGCACTGACACTAACACACACTTAATTAAAAGAAAAGCGGAACCGTGCTCTCTAGACAATATACAATAATACGAGGTGACATAAAACTAACGTAAGACATCCATGAATAATATAATTGAGCAAAATTAACGCAACACTGAGCAATTTCCATAAAACAGCCGACAATTTTTGAAGTCGCACGATGACACGATAAAATTAAATATTCTGCAGTGATATGTATTATGCCGATAAATTGATATTGTTAAGAATGTGCCTATGTCAAGGTCGTGGGGGATTTCACGAAAAAATTGACACTGATATCGAGCCCCCCACCACTCGCACCGCCCGATTACAAAATCCTGGTTCCCTGAAACTTAGGTACTTAGCACGTGGTACACTAAATCTTTAAAACTATTTCACGTTTACCTTTAATAATATTGTATGTAATAAATGTATAAAATATCATCTTTAATCTCTGTATACTTAATCACCTTTGTTTATATTTAAAAATTAAATCCATTTGTATCGGTATAAAAATCTAATTATAAATCTGAGGTTAGATTTCGGCTATGGCACTGTGTCGTGTTTGAATTCAAACTTGTGCAGTGCGACCCTCAGCCCACGGCCCGTAAAACGTATATATTGTAAACTGTATAAAAATACTTATAACTATTATTGTATAAGGCTGTTGTATTGTGGTGGGTAAATATTGTTGGTCAAATTTTATCAGACGACTGTAGACGGCATAGGTTCGACGATTCGCGGATCGTTTCGCGTTGTACTTATAGTATGGGTGTCGAGCGATAAAATTTGAGCTTCTGAACTGACTTTGTAAACTATTGCTCGTTCGCTCGGGGACCGAGGGCCGCACCTCTCAGGAGGATCACACTTCTTGAGGATAAATATAGTCACGGAAGATAATATCATAAATCTTCGATAATGATGTTTTTGCTTGTAAACCTCCGAAAGTTTGATAGGAAAAACAATCAGAAACGTAAACGACGGATGGGCTCTTCAATTCTGATATATATCGATGGCGTCGCGGATATCTTAATCGAAATCGAACGCTCAAACCGAATCTTGTTGTTCATTTTCCAATGTGTTTGTGCGAAGCGCAACTTTAATAGATAGATTTTCAGAATTGCAAAGCTTTCAATTTTCATAACTGTCCAATATTCATTTTTCTCGTACAACTAATAACAAAGAAACAAACTAAAACATAGGTCGCTCGGTCAGCGACAAATTAAAACTATGGTATCCGGTTACATGTGACAAGTACCTCCACAAATACATACTATTATCTACTAGTTAATACGTAACATCCCTTATGCGGTAGGAAAACGAAACCATCACAATAATATCGTAAAATAAGCTATATAAGTTGTCTATACATACAAACAGAGATGATAAAACGTTAAAAATCGCGTTAGAGTTTTCTAGCGCCGCGAAGTTTATAGTCGGGACGACTCACACGAGCTCTTGCAACTACGACAGAGCCGATATATTTCATATATCAATCCTCTGTCCGAATACTAATCATATCTGTATGCAATACGTAATTCTGGAGTTCTAAGTATACCTGTATCTACTGAGGACGCGACGCGATCGGGGCTCGTCCGGCGCGAGAATACTCCAACGATCATGGTACATATATCTTTATTCTTCCTAAGGCTAAATTATTTCGCGATGAATGGTCGAATTGCTTGGTAATTCGAAAGTCGATAGTCTAAGCTAAAATTAAGTAAAACGTATCTCTGGCATAACCCTCTCTCCGTTCCTACACCGAAAAGCACTTTGCGACATCACACACGTTATCTAATTGGCAAAAATTCGCTAATCTCACTCGTGACACGGCTACACTTTTAAATCAGTCGAGAAAAAGGCATCAGGTCGGCGCCTGCGCGGCCGCAGAACCACTTCAATTTGGAATAGGAACACAAGTTAAACGTAATCGAAAAATCAAACGAGAACGATCATTTTTAACAATCACACGACAATGCTTTTATTTTTGTACAAAACACCGAATTTTAAACGCTAAATGAGCGAAATAGCCTAACCTACCTAGCTATCACAGTCCTTTCTCAGTCTGGCTCTTTTCCACGTAAATGCATCCAAATTGTTGTAACGTTGAAAAAACTGGTAACATCCTAACCTTAAAAGAAATTAAGTTGACGTGTAGCTGAAGTGGCAATGTCCATATTCTGCGGAAACTTCAGTCTAGGGTAGATCTTAGTATATCCCAAATAGTTCCATTGAAGTTATGCGTTAGATAGGACATTGACGACGACACTACGTATATTTGGCACCTACAAGTTATGAAGATATACCTCGTCTAAAATAAATGCATTTCATTAATATCGTAAGTACTAAAGTAAAAGTTTGATGGCAATAGGTAACCTACGTTTTTGGTTTGCTTAATTGGATTCAATGTTTAGCAACCCTCATAGCGTAATACGCGGACAATTTTTTAAAAATTTCATTAATTTTGAGCACGTTTTATCATTCACCTTACCCTGCGTTTGCCAGATATTATAATCTTAACAATCGTTATTACATTTTAACATAATAGACCTAAATTATATTAATTACTTTAAGGGCACAATCGTCGTCCCGTAAGCATTCATCGCGAAATATCAATACGTGGTAAAAGAGAATTTCTTACTTTAGATTTCAACGGAGAGTTTTAAATTCTAATCTCTGGTTCAATCCGCTCGGATCGAGGAGTTTCAGCTGAAGAATCACAGAGAAACCTAACTCTTACGTGGTAACTTAATATTACGGGCAAAAAACGCTATCTATCGCATTTTGAACGGTAACACTATTGATGTGAACTTTCGAAAACTGTACATTTGCGACATATCTCGAATTGTTATTTACAGACCGAAGCATGTTTACAGCGATCCGATATTTCGTTACAATAAGCTCGCGCGGGCGAGTCGTATACTGGGTACCGCGACTACGAGGCGACCGGTCGACGGATAGATCAGTAGAGCCGGTCGACGTAGAGGTCGTGATGCGTGGGCGCATGCGGGGCGGCGTGATGCGGCGCGGGTGGACCGGGCGGCCACCGCGGAGGCGCGGGTCACTGCGCCGGTAGGCAGGCCACCGCCGTGCCGGGCCCGACTGCCGGTTTGAATTCTGCGCCACTCGAGAACTGTTGGAAGGGCGGCGCGTAGCATTGCGGGAAGTACAGCTCGGGCTTGACCACGGCTGCCGCCGGCGGCAACGGACGCGGAGTTTTGGCGTCCGCCCGCCTCGCTTTGGCCGCGTGCGGATTCATATGATTGTCTATATGCTTCTTAACTTCTGGTTCGGTGGCAAATCGCCGCCGACAGTTCGGCATCGGACAACAAAAAGGCCTATCGCCCTGGTGCGTCCTCGTGTGCTGATCGAGGATCGCCTTCTGCCTGAAGTCTTTCCCGCATTGAGTGCATTTGTACGGCTTCTCTCCGGTGTGTATACGGAGGTGTTGATTTAAAATCGTCCGTTGACGGAAGAAGCGCGGGCAATAGACGCACCCGTAAGGCTTTTCATTGGTGTGGATACGTAAATGCTGCGTTAAGTGGGACTGTTGGCGGAAACGTTTGCCACACTCCGGACACGGATACGGTCGAGACTCTATGTGTATGCACCCGTGCTGCAGTAAAGTTGACTTTTGCTTGAACTCCTTTTGGCAGATGGGGCAGCGGACGTACAGTGGCATGGCCCGACCGCCGAGTACGTCTGGTAGTTTACCTCCCTTTAAGTATTGAAGCGACAATCCTGAACCGAATACGGTATGATTGAGTCCCTTAGTGTCTTTGAAATAGGCGGGATACTGCGCCGTGTCCCCGGGCGAAAAACAAGATCCCCGCTGCTCCCCATTCTGTCCGTCGGCGTCGCCGAAGGTGGACTGAATTTCTTCCTTATTCTCATCCGGCGGGAACGGTACATCTTGCGGCCACAGCGTCGGCGTGGTGCCATTCTTGAAGATGAGATGCGGCGACACGTCTGCAAAAATCGAATAATCATCATTTACAAGTCTGTCTTGGTTCTAACATATCGATCGATCGGGTTAATCGAACTGAGGACGGTTACGGGAACGTCCGGCGATCGGTTCCGCGTCTCGCGAGCGCCCTCCGCGTTGCGGGCGAAAAGGGAACCGAGAATTTGTCTGATAGGAAGGCCAATGGATGCGAGACCGAATCGTACGGGTGCGGGGCGGCGGGGATCGCCCGCGACGCCCGCAGTGACGCGAACCGGTCGGGTCACCGCGGGAGCCGCGTGCGGGGAGCGGAGCGGGGCATATATGTGTGAATAGCGCTCGCCTTGGTGTGTGCGGACGTGCTGGTTGAGGATGGCCTTCTGGCGGAAATGTTTGCCGCATTCGCCGCACGTATAGGGCTTCTCACCGGAATGGATGCGCAGATGTTGGTTGAGGATGGCCCGCTGCCGGAACGATCTCGGGCAATAGACGCAAGCGTACGGTTTCTCGTTCGCGTGGATGCGCAGGTGCTGCGTGAGGTGGGACTGCTGGCGAAACCTCTTGCCGCACTCCGGACACCCGTATGGCCTCGAGTCCGTGTGGATCCGCTCGTGTTGCAGCAACGTGGATTTCTGCTTGAAATCTTTACCGCATGTTAGGCATTTGAACAGGCGAAGTTCGGAGTTAGGGTTGTGCTTCCGAGGCTTTGGCTGCTCGGGCTGAACGATGTCTGGTAGATGTCGCAGGTCTGGCGTCGTGTATTGATCTAACGGTCCTTCTAGTGACAGGACTCCGCCGTTTTGTTTCAAGTAGTGCAATGGAAAGCCACCAGTACCGAGCATGTGACTGGTCGGCCTCGCTTCTTTGAAATAGGGAGTAGCGTATTGTTGTTGAAGATCCGGTTGTGGAACGAAGCATGGCGTGCGATCGAGATGATCTTGTGACTGTGGCTGCTGGCTTTGGCCGAGCTGTTGTTCAACTTGCATCTGTTCTGTCGAAGATTGTTGCTGGGCTTGCTGTTGCGCCTGTTGTTGGGCTTGTTGTTGAGCGAGTTGCTGAGCAGCTTCATCTGCTGATGGATCTGGTGGTGGGGGTGCAGGTGGATACGGCGACGGGGCGGGAGATGCCAGCTGCGGTTCCGGTTGAGGCGAAGGGCCACCGGGGCTCTGGTGTTGCATTTGGTAGCCCCCGTCGAGCACGGTGCCGCCCCATTGCGTTCCAGGAGGTGCGCGCTCCACGCCATCTTTATACAGCACGTAAGGAGCTGTCGTATCTGAAAAGAGAGATGATTTTGTATAAAAAAATAGCATGGAATTAGAATAGCATTAGACGCAAAAAAGTGTTCTTAAGATATCAATAAAAAATTAATACATTATAAGCAATCCATTAGTAAAAGAATTGAATGATTTGGAAGTTAAAGTGACATGGAATTGATGACGTGCAGACACCAATACCGCTATGAAGGTAGCGTGCCTTCTACGAATTTGCGCTTTCTGCCAAATAAGAATTTAATAAAATGTCATATGCCGCCATGGGTGAGACATTTTTGATGGCTACACGATTTTATGCTAGTGGATAAATAGGAAAAGTTTTGTGGCACGAAAGCTCACTATCTTTAAAATGATTTATCGAGTCTTATTTAGAGTCACTTTTGGACCTATGTATTATATAAATGGATTTTATTTTATTACTATGGATAGTATTATGGTGGTCATATTTTTGTGTCCACTTTATTGATTGATTTTACTTAAAGCAAGTTGATCAGACTTCGGTGTCATGCCCGGTCGAAACTTGTATGTTTGCCATGATTCAGAACTAGATTTCTGAAACTTTACAGTTTTAAACAACTTTAATTATCATATTGAAATAATCCAACATAATTAATAATATTGAGTTTAAAACATTCTTATTCTTTACGTGCACGTGATATTATGAACAGAACGTAATATTTATTTATTAATTATAAAAAAAAAATCCTATTCATTTAAATAGTTTTGACCTTATACGATTTTAGCACTTTGTGTTTTAATTCGAAATATTTGAATTTAGCTTTGAATTGAATGTGATTTAAATAAATTTAATTGACATATAGCGACAAGTGGAATAAAATGATTTCTATACATTTTTATTTATTGAAATAGGCATTAGAATAGATTATCTTACAATGGAAAGTGCAAAATAATGAATTAGCGTGTTTATGTCTTCTAAAAAACGACAAAATGTTATGAAATGCAGTTTTCTAATGATTCACTTTCCATAGAATCCGGTTGAAATAAAAAGGCGGGAAAACGCGACCATTTTCTTTTCCGCCTAAAGCTAAATGCAAATGGCGGATGCACCAGAGTCATTATCGTTTTGACGCTGCTGCGTTGTTATCCGATTAAATCGGAGAATCATATTATGTAAATTTGTGTATCCAGAACTAATATGTTTTGTGTTTGAACAACTATTTCGTTTTAGGCTTTTACTTGTTATCATTAAGTCAGATTAACATATTGCTAACCTAAATATTAAAAATCTATACTTCAATACTAGTATATAAAGATGAAGAGTTTGTTTGTTTAAGCGTGCTATCTCATGAACTATCGATTCGATTTAAAAAAAATATTTTTGTTTTGGTTAGAGTATTTATCTGTGACTAATACAAGCGACTATACAGCGAAAAATTTGAAAAAAATTGGGATAATAATTCATCACTATGGAATCCCGAGGCTTGCGCTGCAAAAACGGTTCAAGATACCTTCCCAAAAAATATGTATGAAAGATCTCTTTAAATTATCTAAAGGAAAATCCGTGACGATATATATTTTTCTTTTAAGACTTACTTGCAAGAAAGACGGCAAGGGACGCCATCGACGTCGTGGGGAATACCTTAAGTTTATAAAGATGAAGGGGTTTGCAAAAACGAATTCGGATACCCCCAAGTCGCTGACACAGATAGCAGGATAATAACAATGCTATCAATAATTAAAGAAAATAAATAAAACAAAAAAACCCCTTCACCCTTGTTTTAAACGGTTGAAAAATATGAGATTGAAATAAGCAGCTATCTCATTACCGTTCGATAACTACTTGAATAGTCTGAGTTGATAAGGGGTGACTCTTTTACAAGTACCCCGATATCTTGATTTTAAAAAGTGGGCTCAGCAACCCTTTGTCATGTTATATCTAGATAACTAAGTACAATATCGATAAATCAATCTTAAATTCAAAATCGATTCGATTAAATAAATTTGATGACACGGGCGGGAGTTGAACCAGTATCGTCGTAGCGTTTCGTCCTGCTGCTGTAACGAAGCGATCTCTACAGGCCATCATCAGTCTTTACGGGTCTGCTAAGATATTTAGAAAATAAATATTTCTATGCACAGACAATGATTAAACTCATCAGAAACGTAAGGATGACTAGACCAATATGACAATTTCATTTGCGAGTATCTATTAATATTTACCATAAACAATAGTACCTATCGCCATTAGAAGTGATATCCATAAATAATAGAGTTTTATGTTACTTTACAATAAGAATATTGCGAGCCATCCTAGATGCCCGTGTACTCACTCCATAAACAACGCAGATAAGTACTAAAATACTGAGTGCATACATCTTTTCATGTGTCCACGACAAAGATTTATTACAGTTAAACAGCTGTTTATAATCTACATATAAATAATAAAACATGATTTCCCTTGACAAGGATGCGTAAATGACGTTTTAAATTTGTCGAGCCAACATGTGGAGCGGGTTACATTCGTAACGTCACGTATTAGGTTTTTTTAAGACTATCGTAATGGGATTTGAAACTATGGGAATGCAGCTTCCCTTTCTATAATTTTTTTGTTTGCTATCAAATCGTTAATGCGCCTAATGACGTCGGTGGCACATGTGCTTGAGAAAATGTCTCCTTTGCGACGTGGAGACATTTATTTTTAAACTAGCTGTGTCAGCGACTTCGTCCGCATGGATAGTTATTTTAGGGCATACTAATTTGTCTTTGCAAAAGCTTATTTTCATCTTTATAAACTACAGCCGTTCCTGTCGTTTTTTCAAGTTAATCTTAAAAGATAAATAAAAAGCGTCGCGGACTCTTTTTAGATCATTTAAAGAAGAATCATTCTTTCATCCATATTTTTTGGGTATCTTGAACCGTTTTTGCAGCGTACGCCTCGGAAACCCATAATAATGAATAATTTTTCCACATGTTTTCACATTTCTAGCTGTATCTTCGCTAATATTAATCATAGGGCGATGTTTTTCAATTCGAACCTGTAGTTCTTGAGATTAGCGCGTTCAAACATACAAACAAACAAACTCTTCAGCTTTATATATAAGTATATAGATAGATATTAAGAAATACAATGCATCAAAGTAGTAAATAAAATGATAGTAAAAACAGGAAATGAATAGTATATTTGAATTGCCTAAAAGAGTAGGAGCTTTCGGTAAACATAAAGAAAAAGTAATTCCTTTGTGTTAATAAGTTAAACTGCCGCAAAAACTACAATACTCGTACTATGTGAGGCAGTAGGCTGTAGTGCGGTTGAACCAAACTGGTCCAGCCACTCGGGCAACTGCCCGCCCCTTCCTGCGTGTGCGCATAATATTGTAGCGATAGCAATAAAATACTTAATAAATTCTAAATTTCTTGTAATTGTTTTATGTGTATTGAGGTTTTAAGTGTGTTATTCATTTTAAATCACATTAAATAAGTATTCTTCATTTAATAACAATATAGGTATTATTTCTTTTGTAACACTTATAATGGAAATTGGAATATCCTGATTTTATTTTTTTTCAATTTAAGCCGATATAGCTTCGATAATTATGCATAAAAAATAAATGTATAATATAATAAAAATGAATTTTTTTTCAACAGTAATTTGCTAACCATACATATGTTGACCGATGGCTAGGTCACCAATTCTATAGGATTAAAATAAATAAAAAAGGTTATAATTTTATTACAATATTTTTTTTAGAACTAACTGACTTGATACAATGGCTAATACATAATTATTTTTATGTTCCGTCAATATATTTTCATTAGTTAAAATTTAGTGATTACCGAGTACGGCTTCTGTAGTGCGCCCAAAACGTGGGAAATAGTTAAACATGTATTAATCTTAATAGTTCGCGTTTTTAACCGTTAAAAGTTTTTATTTAATTGGTTTGACAATTGACATAAAGTAGAGACATTAGATACGATTATATTATCTTGTATTGTTGTTTTTTCACCTTATCCCTTTTTAGGGTTCCGTACACAATGGAAAACCCTTATTACTAGAACGCCTGGTGACGGTAGGTACTGGAAAGTAAATACGTTATGAAATTATATATATATGAAATTCATGTCTTTAATTAATGAGTGAAATCCCGTTAGCCCCTGTGGGGCATGGGGCGCACACATGTGTTTATTTCTGTTTCATACGTCTGTGTTCGTGCCACTTATCAGTTTTCAATTAAAGGCAAGTAGTTGATCACTGACGAAACAATCCATTGTTTCTTCGGGATTCGAACCCAAAACCTCTCACGCTTAAAACAAACAAACAAACTCTTTAGCTAATATTAGTAAATGGTAGGATAACTATGAGTGATGTTTTGTTTAGGAATCCTATGAAGGTTCCGATCGCGGTCGTTTCTGGTTATTTTGGTTTGGTGAATCACAAAACTCGTTAGTGATCGACAATGCGCAGGATCCTGCCCAGAATGGCTTAGTCACGCTTTTGTGATGTATGTACCACGACAATTATTTGAGATTGCTTGCAAGTTCATTTACACTTGCGAGCAGTATTTTAATTTTAAACATGCTTTTTCAATTAATAAGTATAACTCAAATAGTTATTTACATAATTTGTTTTAATGTATTAACGCTTTCCTTTATTGTCCTTGACATTTTTCCTTATTAATAACCCACTCTTAACGGTTTGAAAAGCGAAATCTGTACCGTGTGACCATGACTGCTTCAAAAAATGTACATATAAATAGCATCTAATATATTTCACGTTTCAAACCGTTTAGTGTTATTTAAATATGTGGGTACAACTCGTATAAACTACAAACAATCAATACAACTGTTATTTATGTTCGTCTTTTTTTTCCTATATAATTTGCGTTATCTATGGTACTTGTTTTATATTGCATATAAAATATAATAAAGTTTGTTTTTATACTTATATACCCACTTAGCAATTTATTTTTATATTTTATACAGACTGTATTTCATTTAAATGCGTAAAAAAATTTTAGTTATTTTTTAGCATCGAGTCACTGTTGACAATAAACTAGTTAATTCGGGGTGTAAGCCGTTAGTGTTTTATAGTTGACATGTATGAAATAGTGATTTTTTTTTTTTCTTCTTTTTTCCCCCCCTTTTAACAGAAGTTGGAAAAATCTCGTGTGCTGATAATTATTGGATTTCTAAAATTAATAATAATTTAATTTAATATCTGTTTTATTAATATGAATTAAGAGCTTTAAAGCTCTTTTTACACGTTTCGTGTTTACTCTCGTTTCGCTGAAGATCTCAGGGCTGCGAAGTGCATTGCCCTGTACCAAAATAAATTGTCGCGACAACTACGTCTGTGCGTACGGTGCTGGCCGAGTATACGACAATTCTGGCGATGTCGATGTTAGTATTTTTTTATAACAGATATTTAAATAAAATAAGTTCAAATTGTTTAAAACATGAAATATATTAGTTAGCTTATTTTTTTAATTATCAAGATCAAGAGTTTGTTCTAACGCGCTAATCTTAGAACTACAGGTTTATATTGAAAAAAAATTTTTTTTGGTTTGAAAATTTAATGTGTCAGGCTTTTGGATTATATAAATTATCATGCTGCGACCAAGAGGAGCGAAGAAAAAGAGGTGGAAAAAACGGGAAAATTAACCGTCTGAGGGTTTCCTTACGTGCCACTCAGAGATCCCAAAAAATATGTATAAAGTTATCTTCTATAAATAATCAAAAAAAATCCGAACGGTATATGTCTATCTTTTAAGATTAAATTACAAGAACACGTTTTTATGGTAATAAAATTTTGTCGAAGACTTCATGTGGCAAAAGAACTAGCCAGGTCAGCTAATAACATATTATATAGTTGGATTATGTTTGGTCTACAGATAAACCTATCTGATATTGGTCTATTATTTTTATTATTTCTGATACTCTATGGTACTCGCTGGGTTGTCAAAGAAATACTGACAACACATCGATAAGCAAGGAGCCTCACTAAAAATCGTCACACTTCCGTCGGGCATTCCCGCCGAAGAACTTCGTAACGCGTGTTAAAAGTTGACTTTTCATCGCTGCACTTGTTGCGACTAATATAATGCCCACTTATACTTATCCAGCAATGGAAACCATAATGTTTATGCACTCGACGATTACTTCAATGTTAATTTAACTTTTTATTCAACTGACGACTTTTTGTTAAACATCTTCATTGAATAATTTACTTATGGCATTCGTTGTTTATTGTTCAATATAAGACTGAAATTGCCGCCTCTTTTCAACAACGATACATTTGACGTTGTTGTAATGGTAGCAATATAGGTAATAATAATTAACTTCGTATGTATGGTCGTGGATTCGATCCCCACCTGGTCAAACATGTGTTTTTTAACGTGTTGGATATCGTCTGGAAATCTGATATAAATAGGTGAAAAGAATATCGAAATTTCCACCGGGTCATTTTTTCCGGAGCAATTTCAACCGTATACAGTAGAAAAAGCGTTTTAGTTTGTAGATTTCCGAATATCCAAAGCCATGAAAGATCGACAGCGTATCTTGTTTAGACTGCCCGACCGAAAATATATCGCGATTTTGAATCAAAGACTTGCGCTTAACGCAATGAGTTTATTCATTAAACCGCAGAGACCTATTAGTAGAGAGAGAAGTGCTGTATTATTCGGTCAGTATTGTTCCATATTAGTGCATATATAGAAAGAGTGATCAAACGCCATATTCTAACGATTTGTAGGAAAATTAATGTGGAAAATATATTGGACACCTATTAAATATACCTTGATAATCGTCCTTATGGTAGTTAATTTTTTTAATGGATATCCTAAATGTTTCCAGTAATTAATGAACTCCGTACTCGGGCGAGTAATGACTCTGGACGCAATAAAACTTTAATACAGTCAATGTAACATGGATGCCATTTATTCTGGAAACAAATGAAGTTCAACCGAAATTATACACGAAAAGGCTATTTAATTTGTTAAAATTAATTTTATTTTAACTTTATATATTTAAATTTACCTATTTTATATTGATTCAGTCGGTAATGTAGGGTAAAATAAGATTAACTCTTATTATTATTATTTTCTATCGGGGACATCCATACCATAGGGCGATCAGTCCACACCATCTGCTGACCGTTTCACCCATTTTCTTATCTCCTCCTTGTAAAGAGGTTTTTAGGTTATCCAACTTTCACCGTGTCCCTTTCAAACTTTCTGGTTTGCTTACAGAATCTTAATATTTGTTCCATCTTTAATTCTTCGATGTCATCTACTGTTAATTTGTCCAAGACCCATTTGTCTTAGTAAAAGACAAAGACTAACTCTTTGTTTTTTTTAGAAAATTTTACATCACAATTATACCTTAATTTGCAACGATTTCAAGTCAGTTTATTGCTAAAGGTATTTTATAATAGTTTATTAACAGTTGCATCAGTCTAAATATTATTATCAAGTCGTCAATAATGTTTTGTATGAGACGGTTTATTATAAACAAATGTCAGCAACCTGTCAGCAAAGTACAGCCTACCTGAAAAGTTTTTCAGGCAGGCCCTTAGAACAGTTTCTGTGCGCACTGCAGTGTTTTGTTTAAGGGCATGATTGAACAACATATCGGCTTTAATTTAAAAACGTTTCTACACGAAGCAAAATCCTGCGCGAGGGGTCTTGCAAAATTGGTTAGAGCAGAACGTTGTGGATGTTCAAGTCCCGCCCGTGTCGTATTTCATTTGATCTTCAATCGATATTTGATTTAAATAAAAGTATTTCTCATAGATTAGAAATCATTTATAACACAAGAAAAATCTTCAATGACGAGGGATAGCTGTGCTTCCTGGGTTAAAAGCCAAACAAACAGTGTATCATGGTGAGATTTTGGCTGGGTCTCTGGTAAAGCTTATCCTGTCCTCTATCGAAAACATTAACTTCGACAACACAACTGCCTGTTACCACCATACATACTTAGTTTATGTCAGATCGATGTCCAAACAGAAGAAGTCATAAAGCCGATTTCGCCAAATGTGAAGCGTCAAGAGCGTGTCGTGAGTGGACAAGCACATCGGTGACGCGCCGCGCTATTTCCGTACGACGCCCCTCGACAAATGCTAATGTCCTCTAGGGTACGTTTGATGATCGCGAGTGCGCTTCGATCCTATAGCTCTGTATAAATCGCTGAACCGTGAAATCAACTTTGGCTATATACTGAGAAAAGGACATGCTTTTAAGCTCTAGTACTTGAAGTAATTCAATTAAAAATATACGAACAAATCGATGGCACAGAGTTGAACCCACGTCACGTCAGTGTGTGTTCTGATAATTCAAAGGTAATTATTATCACGAAGGTTTCGTTTTACTAAATATTGTCTGTAGTTTACCTTAATTTTTTTTTGGCCCCCCGGGGTGGGTGTTTTGCGAGTAGTACACATTTAAATAAAACACTTAAACGGTTTAAAACGCGTATATATTAGTTAAACATGTTTAGAAATTATTTTAATTACGGCCCCACGCGTTAATATATTGGTTTAGGATTACTCATTAAATAAAACGTTATCAACGTAAATTGCGCATTTTAAACCGTTAAAGTGTTTTACTTTGACGTGTACTACTCGCGTGAACTACAGACAGTGTTTTTAACGGTTTTAAACGCGATATATTGAACCGTGCAATCTTGTTTTCCTTAAATGGGACACTTTTGTCTGACACTGATCTGGAAACGCGAAACATATTAGTTTTTTTAACACTATAATAGCCGTGGTCATGGGGGTACAGATATGTCGTGGGTTATCTTATGTTTATTTATGACACATCATTAATACGATACTTCATAAGATCGAAGCACAGTTCCTGTTAAGTTTATAATTAGGGACTACGCGACTGAATACACTAGATGGTAGTGATTCAAGAAGAACAGAGATGGAGATATTTTGTGATCATTAAGAGAAGAACCGAAGCGGAGAATGTGACAATGAATTTATCATTTAAATGATATCATTTCAAAATGTCATATGAGAGTATCATTCCGCGAATTATCGCACCTTAAAACCTTTTTGTATTAATACTGAAAAATGTTTAAAAGTTATCATCAGGTAAAAACAAAAATTGCTCAAATTTACATTTTTCTGAAACATGTTGGACTTCGTCTGAAAATCTGGATATTAAATGGATGACAGGAATATTGAAATTCCGACGGATTACAAACCACAATCCACAGATGAAAAACCCGTCAAATTTAATTGCGTTCCGGTTTCCAGTATGTGGATTTCCGACAATCAAAAGCCAAAAGAGTTCATTTAAATAAAACACTTTAACGGTTTAAAACGCGATATATTAGTTAAACTTATTGGAAATGATTTTTAACTTCCACCCGACGTTTCGGATGCTTTGCAGCAGCCGTGGTCACGGGGAGTCTCCCCGTGACCACGGTTTATCTAATATATCGCGTTTTAAACCGTTAAAGTGTTTTATTTAAATGTGTACTACTCGCGTAAACTATAGACAGTATCCAAAAGAGTTCGACAGCACATATTGTTAAGATGTTAGATATATTATGACTAGGGCGTTTCTCCATATAACATCTAAACAAGTTACACTACCTACTTTGGCTCTGTATATTGTAGCAATTCCACATCGGAACCGATAAAAGGAAAAAGTACAGAACACCTAATTAAAATGATACAATGCGCTGGTATGTCGGAGCATAATAGAGGGCCATTGAGGCACAAATAAAGAGCTCGCTAGCCACAGTAGACAGCGGTCCTTGAACACAAGAGGGACTATTTTTACCAGATTATGCATGAAGACCGCTGACGAAGCGCCCTCCGCTTGCTTCTTTTTGCAACCTACTTACTTGGACTAATTAGGTGGGGATATTTTGTGTCGCCAAGTATTTTTATTACTATGGAGAGTCAATGCCTTTTCTATATGTGTAATTTAAATAAACACTTTTAACGGTTTGAAATGCGAAAATAGTTAATTAAATTTAACTCATATATTTCAGGTTTAAAACCGTTTAAAGTGTTTTTTTTAAACGTGTTCTACTCTCGTGAACGGCTTACATTCAACGTTAGTATATAATAAAAAAATATTAAGAATATTAACGAAAATCAAAATTTAATATACCTGGTAGGTTTAATATATTTTTAATTGTTTAAAAGTTAGATATTCAATAAATGCGTTAGATATTATGTAAAAATAAAGTATTCCAATCGAAAAGGCATTCTGGCTCCTAAAATATATTTCTCTTTATTTCACTGATCGATTGTTATTTAAGGGAATTAGGTTACCTAGTGTGCTCTAGTGGACAGGGGGGTATATATATTTAACAAAAAAAAAATTCTTCTTAAAACGATTTAAAAAAAATATTCACGGTGCATGTCTTCTTTAAGATTCACTTGAAAGGTCGCGAACACGTTGTGTGTGATAATTCATAGAGATGAGAAGGGTTGCAAAAACAAATTTTGAAAATAAATCAACTACATATACCACACCAAAAGTACCTTCGTTGTGATTTTCGACTGTCTGTCTATAAAAGGTACATTGCCAAAATTTAAAGGGTTGTCTGCAATGCAGCGCAAAACTTACTCAAAGTACGCCTTTGCATGTCCCGATGGCGATAAATTAAAAAGTAAAAGTCATAAATACGGCGGGATCAACGATCCTTTTCGTCGCACGCGATGCTTCTGGTACGAAAAACGTCCTCTATAGCTAATGAATGCTTTCCAACTTTTAAAGTATTGTGTGAAAAAATTTGATTCAATTTAATTCTTAAAGTGCAGTGGTTAAATCATAAACATTGATATGTAATTCAAATAAGACATTTATGAGTTTTAGATTATAATATATAATTATTTGTGGGGCATATTATACTAGCCATGTATGAGAAAAGAATTTGGATTGACTTAATTCATACAAGATTTTGGGTAGAAATCGTAAAGATTTGCTTATGGACAAATTATAACAGTTTAGGTAATTGACTTAAACAGATACAAATGAAATGGTTCAGATTTCAGTGGTTTGTACTAAACGCACATTCAAACTGGTTACCTTTTAACATTTAATATTTGAAAATTATTAAGATATTACCAGAGGAAGAAATTATTTCTGGAGGGTTTACACAATCGCCTGAACATTATTCTCAAGTTTGAAGCAAAGTTTATTATGTAAGCGAGATTAGAACAAAAGAATCCGTCAAAAGATTTACAGAATCAATATGAACTCTAATATGTACAATTTAAGAATGAAAACTTGTAAGTGATTATACTGTGCTTTGCGAGGTGAAGAATAAGGGTATGTTGAAATATAAAAGGCGTCTGAACGTAATCTGTGTTATATTATGCGGCAGTAATTCAAAATCTTGTACAAAAAATACTGTCTTGATTGCACGGGACAAATGGCAGTCACATTTATATGGCAGAATTTAAAAGAATGCGATTTCCCCGAAATATATAAGGTACATTATTGTAGGTAGACATTATTGTTAATATTAAGTAAGATTATCTTAGATTATCTTTTCTACCTTCCTCCTAGTTAGAGTTAAAGAGACTTTTATAATTTCCGGGATGTGACTCGTGGAATCTTGTGATATATAAATATAAGCTATGGAGTCGGTCACCATATAACTAGTCAATATGAGTCTATCTGTAATATTAGGTTTAAAAAAATATAGTAATGTTTTGTTTTTTAAATGTGACAGACGAAGACAAGAACATGGTTCATTTGATCAATGTTAAGAGATCGATTCCCCACCCATGTAATATTTTAACAAGATGCGTTGTCGGCTTATTTACCCTTAGGTACTACTCAAAGTAATGATGTTTAATACTGAAGAGCGCGTTTTAATTTTAAGATACTGAATCCACAGACTAAAAACTGCGTTTATGAACTATTTAACTTCTCGCGAGGTCATAGTTGAAGTCAACGAATAACACATGTCAGTATTGAAGCTGAAGATCGAGTTACTAGTCTAAATGTATATACTGTGGTGGAAGGGTGAACGAACGCTGAAAGCGCGGGCTTCCAAAGTTTGAGACACGCCACTTCCTGCGCGCTTGAGTGCTAGAATTTTTGTTTTTAATTCTAAACACTCTTTTGGCAATGGTAAATGCTTTTAAAGAATAATGAATGTATGCAGTGTTCTCTGGAACCTGTTGTTTGTTCCTTTAAAATTTTTCCCCTTCCTTTTGGGGCCCGTTTTTCCCCCCTTTTTTTTTTTTTAATTTTTTTTTTTTTAAACCCAGGGCTTTTTTTTTTTTGTTTAATATTCCCTTTTCCCCCTTCCAAAAAAAATTTTTTTTTTTACTGGTAGTAAATAAAGTTGTTTTTTTACTTTATAGGCGTTTCTTTTTTTCTAAATTTTTCTGGTGGCTAGTTTTCTCGCTGTATTTTTGTCATTTCTCTTTTTTTATAAAAATCTTGGTCTGTATGATTATCGTAGTAGATAGTAAAGAAATAGTGTGCGTTTGAGATGCATATACTGTTATTTGCGGTCCGAAGTTGTGGATGCTTTGTAACAGCTTTTTAAACCATTAAAAGTGCTTTATTTAATGTGTACTGGCGATTTGTTCAAAGCAAAGCATCCGAAATGTCGGGCCGAAGTTAAAAATCATTTTCAAAT